TTTGATAAAATTATTTCAAATTTTAATCAGACAGGAAATCAATTTTAATTTCAAAAAACAATTTTTCCCAGCTTCTTTCAAAGTATCCTCACGGGACTTTGGATATAATAATAAAAAAAAACACTTTCAATTCAACAGGTGTTGTTTGATAAGAGGTGGTGTATTTGTTAGGTTGTGCTTATAAGGTTTCGTCTTTCTTACACTGCTTGTTTCTTACATTTACCTATAGCCAAATATGCTGTAGTTTGAGTTAATTTTCAGCATGTAGTCGCAGGATTTTATGATTCTATAGGCAGGGTAGAATCATAATTTTCGATATTGTCTCTCAGGGTTTAATGGAAACAAATGCAGAAATGAGGAGGCAGAGATCTTGCAGTTTCAATCGAAATCCCAAAAGCAACAGAAGCAAAGTTCAAAAACAGAAAATGCAGAAAAAAAAAAATCCAGGAAACGTCAGGGCAAACATACAGGGAGCAAAGAAACAACGAAGGAACAAATCAACAAGAAAGCACCAATGAGGAACCTGCAGATGTGGTGTATATACGGGGAACAAAACAAAGGATGGGCTAATGAGCTGATATGGAGCAGGTGTGGATGGAAGTAGCTAGAAGGGAGCCAATGGGAAAGGAAAGAAGCACAAGCGGCAACAGAGAGTAGGTCAAGAAATACAAAACTGCATAAATATAACACAAAACGGAAAAGAAACTAATAAACAAGAAAAAACAGAATAACATAAATCGAAGTGGAACTAAAACTTAAAAAGAAACTCAAACAGAACTCCACAAGGGGAGAACCATAACAGTGTCGAACCATTAGCAGGTTCCTAAATTCAAAACTATGAGATGGTAATAAAGACAATAAAAACTATTTTTAAATAAGGAAGTTTAAATCATCTCTTAAACATGTGTAATTTGACATATTTCTTACAGGCAGAGGAAAATGGATTCATTAGAAATATTTTTCTTGAACTTGTCTAATTCCCTTATTCATCTTTTTTCATATTTAAATTTTTCATATTTAAATTTTTCATATTTAAATTTTTCATTTTTAAATGAAATGTTATAGCATTTTCTCCACTGACCAATTGCACTGAATTTCCAAAAATAAAAATTAACTCTATAGATGTTTGTAATATGTTTTTAATGGGAATTTATTAAGATAATTTTCTGAGAATAATACAAACCTGCAAACTTCAATTCTTCTCTCTTTTCTTAAAGTTGATGTGATGTTTGCTACTATAAACTAGCTCTATTTGTAGGACTGAAGTTTTTTTATATACAAAATAAATTGTAAAAAATATAAATCTGTTGTCCTTTTTTAAAGTCGTATATTTTTTAACATAACTAAAAATATCAGCAAACTGCTGTAGATATTTAATGTATATATAGTTTCTTCCTCCCTTTTTCTTTCTCCTTTTTTTTATATAAAAAGTAATGTCGTTTGTGGCTCTAAATTAGTTTTTATTAACAGGACTTAAATACATTTATTTATTTCCATTCACAAAATTAACTCTAATTATAACAAACATATATTTTTTTTGTCCTTTCAAAAGGGAACAAATGTCGGTTTTTAAATTAATTTTCCCCAAAGAATATGTCAGCAACCTAAAAAATGTATTTATTCTCTTCTTGCTTTTCTATTTCCTTCATTAAATATGAAGGAAACAAATATCAAATGGCAAAGTGGTTATTAAAAAGGGACAAATCTCCAGTTGTAGATATCTAATAAAAAGGAGTTCTTTTTTCTTTGTTTTTTTAAAAGAGGTGGCATAATGTTTGGGGCTCTAAATTAGTTAAATAGCTGGGCAGTTCTAAGAAATGGTTGTTTATATTATTAGGTGGGAAATAAACGGCTTAAAGGAAACAGTTTTAAATCATCAATAAAAAAAACATCTTCATGGTCAATGTGAACTGACCGAGGATATTTTAGTGAGGTGCAGATTCTTGTTTGCCTCTCTGATCCTTCAGTCATCTAGAGAGGGTTGACCTACTGATCAGCAGACATATTTTAAAGAACAAAAGGTCCCCAGAGAGCCTAGAACAAGAGGATCACGCCATCCTTGGCAGGTTCCACGCTGATCCGTTTTGTGACAGATTCCTAGAGGCAGCGTTCACCTTTTCACTGTCTATTTTTGGCCTCTCCTCCTCCTGCTCTTCAGGTATCTCTTTGCTTTATTCAACATAAAGCCAATCAGAGCACTGCCCTCATATCATTTCTGGGATCTTGAATCTAATCTGAATGTGCGGTAGGGCATGTGAAGTCAGTTCTTGACCCTTGATTTTCCTTGACTTTGTCCTCTTCTAATCCTATTGTGGCTTTTCTGTACTTACGGAGGCTATCAGCAGCTTGACTAAAGAGACAAAGGAAGGAAGGTAGTAAATTATTATTCATCAGGGTCATTACTATTTACCCAGTGGATTAGTGAAAACTCTGACCCCCTCCACTGTAACGATACAAGCGTAAACACAGCAGCTTGATAAATAAAGAGGTTTTGTAATGTTATATATTTGTTAAATTTAATCATAATGATTAAAATGAGCAATTAGACCACAAAGCTTTCCAGGTAAGCTCTGTATTGCTCTATGTTGTGTCCGTATTACAGCAAGCGTTGATTAAGATGATCCCTGTGTCTGAATTCTTTGTCTTTGGATTTACCTGGATGCTCCTGGGGTTGGTTGCATCATCGCTCAGAGCTTTAGTTGTTTTGATTTGCTAACGAGGGCTGAAGGCGCACAATGCCTGCTAGTCAGTACAAGATCCTCATAAGTTGAACACAGATTCCTTCAGTCCTATCAAAGAGCGTTATTAACGTTTTATTAAAGGAATTCTGTCTACTCAACCACAGAGGAAACTAAATGGAAAAATAGAGTTGCAGACCTTAACTAATGGAAATAATTGCCTTCTTCTTTTCACTTTATGAAGAAGTTTTTGGTGTGAGAAAAAACTGACATATTTAATCAAATAATTGAATAATATTTTAGAGAGAAACACTGTCTATAGAAGCATGAAGTATTAGGATATTGGCTACCTAATTTAACTTAATGAGGTTTACATGTGTTCTTAATCACCATTTATTACCATTGAATTATTTGACGTCCTTTATTTCATTGTGCTTGCATAGCTGTTATAGTTATTTACTTATCTTATCAGATTTCTGAGCCTCAAACAAACACTGTTTAAAATGCATGAGATGGACTGAGAAACCCCTCTGGTGGCCACATATACAACCATTTATATATCAAAGGTCACTGCTTTTTATGTTTCATAGCTCAACCACAGTGGAAATCACTAGTTAGAGTATTTGCTTGGTCATTTTGATATATCTGTCTTAGGCTTCGAAGACATGCGCTGTTTAAATAGATCAAATATTCTTTTAGACATGCTTCTATGTAAAGGTGTGGAGATGAAACTAAAGGAGAATTGTTTATTGTGAAAATAGAAATATTTCCCAGTCTCTGCCAAACAGAATGATGTCAAAAGCTGTGGTTTTAATACTCCTTAAAGCAGGTCAGTGCTTAAAGGTGTCAGTCATCCAGAACGTTGCAGGCTTTCTCTGACCAGGCAATACATTGTGTTAACCATTCATTATAGTCAAAAATCCATTGTTATAATATTAAGTTTAAGACTTGAGCTATTTCTCTCTATGTTTCTCACCTCACATGCAAGAAAACCATTAAAAGTCTCATACAGTTAGCTCTTTCCAAGTAATTTATGGCAACTCTAGATATGTTATCAAGTGTAGTCGCTGTGATAGGAGCATGAGTTCAAGTTTTGTTGCTAAACTGCATGGCTTTTAATCCTGTAATGAAAGCCTCTTTGTCCCACGCTCAGCTCTTGAGCAATACCTCAGCTGCCACTGCTGCAGTGGGAGGAGTTTCCACTCAGCAACTACTGAGCTAATGGCCTTGTTTCAGTCTTTACACTTTGAATAGACACAAAAGTACTAAATAAAAGTTAAAAGAATATATGTTCTGGGTCTCGTTGTTAAAAAAAATGCCTATTTAGCCTGTCTAATCCAGCTTTTTCAATCCTCTGGTGTAGTATGACCAATTAGAAGTTGAGCAAAACAGTGAAAGGAAAAATCTAAAGATATTTTAAATGCTAGAAAGGATTATGGTGATGATTACCCATTTGTTATGGGTATGAAGACTGACAATCATAGAAAGTAAAGCCATCAGCACTTAAGTAAGTTAAATATAACATGTGAGTTCTGCTGAGCCAAGAGAACAACGCCTAAGATACAGTTTTTGTTCCCTGGAATGAGTTCTTTCCGCTCACATATCCTAAACTCACATTACCTCAAGTAGCTTCTTTTCAGGAATTCTTGGCATCTCTGATTGCAGCTAAATTCAAATTGGACACCTGATTAGAGGGAACAGGACCCAGACTGCCTGCTGAGATTTAAACTGGAGCCAGTTTCACCTTTTTTATCTATTTTATTCAGTCCTGAATCCATTGGTAGCAGTTTATTTCCCCAAAAAAAAAAAAATCCACCAGACAAATTATCTGTATGTGTTTGTTGCTAAGGTTAAGTCCTCCTTTGTGACATCCCTTCTCACTGATATGACCTGTTTCTTATCAATGTTTTTCCCATTTGAGGCATTTGTACCAAATCAAGGAAAAGGAGCACCTGCTTGTCGGTTTTTAGAAAGGTTTTTGTGACTTTGTCACTCCTCATCCAATGCATTGTTTTTCTTTCTCCTGTGTGGTGGAGCTTCAAGCTCTCCAGTCACTAGATAAACCCTAATTCTACATCTATCTCCTTAGACAGTCTGATTAGCATCGCGTCACAGAAAGGGGAAGTAATCCGGGCCCAGGAATAGAGCCACAGTAGAGATGCTCCACAGCCACCATGTGTCCATTGGTAATCCGCTCTTAAATAACTCTGGGGCAGGGACAGAGTGTGGGAGCCCAGGCAGGGAAATAACAGCAGTCAGTGTCCCGTTGCCCCTCGGACACATAGCAGTCAGGGCAGGAGAGGGATTCAGCATCCAGGAAGCTTGCAGTCAGGATGAACTTTGCTGCCCAGTTATTCTACACCAGCTACCTGAGCGAGCGACTGGAACGTTTGTTCTCACCAAGACCTGCGATTAAAGACAGCGAGGAAAATGACCCCTTCTGGGAGAGGTGGGAATTAGCAACATATAGAGACCCAGACCCCTGCCCTCCTCACATCAACCCTTTAGCCACAGATCTGCTCTAAAATACAAAAATCTTGTGCAACCAGAACAAAAACAATCAGCTCTTCTTCTATTTTTATCTTCCCCTTGTTGTCCCTTCATCCCAACTCTCCATGCCCTCCTACTCCTCAAAATCCCATCTCTCTCTTTGGCTTCATGGGGGATTTTGAATGATTTGCTTTAAAGGTAGAGGTATTTGAAGAAGTTTTGCATTTAGAAAGTTTAAATCTAACCAGCAAGGAAACTACAAATCTGCAAGGAAGATATCAGGCTCTGCCAAAACTGCCTCTTTATTAATGTAAATTAGCTCTCACAGAAAAAGGCTTGTTAAGGGTAATTTAGGGAAACAAGAAGTGGATGATGTTGATAAAAGCCTGCTTGGTTGAATCGCCTCTTTCACTTGTTTTGCTTCATCCTCAGTCTTAAAATAAGCTACTGTTCACCTCTTCATTTCATTGTTTACTTCTTTGATGAAGTTCTTACAGGTCGCTGGGTTTTTCTTCTCCTTTCTTCGGTACTTTTTTTATTGAATCCCTCCCTTGAATCAAAGATCTTCTAACACAGGTGCAGATTTGGACTTTTTCCATAGTCCCATTCACAATAATAAGGACATTCTGCTTCATCTAAAAATAATGGATAAAATGGGGTGGAGAATGGTAATGGATTTGTGAGACCAGGTGAAAGGTGAATGTGCTGCTTATAATAGATCATGCTGAAAGAAATGGAGCAGGGTGATGTCTGCAAAGGGCTGGTCTTACAAGAGATTTGTCCAGGAGAGCAGCTCCACCTGGTGGCTGTCTACCGAAAAAATAATATATCTACTAAATGCATTTTGATTTGTTTTAGTGCCAAAGCATATTAATGTAATGCACTGTAGGTAATCCTTTACATTGCAGAAAGCCTTCTCCCTGAATTACATTTAGAAGTATGCATCCAAAAAACAGTCTGAAGCCGGTTTGTTTAATGTCCTTCAAGAAATGAGACTATGGAGCAAAGTGAAACAATTCAGATTCCTTTTCCCATCTTGTGTCCATTTTCCGAGCTATTATAAATCAAACTGTCCTGCCTTCAGTCCTAAATTGCCATTTAATTTGCATCTTGCAATAGAGGAGCAAACGAACCAATAAATCATAAGAAGGCTCATCGATGTAATCCGTCACGGTTAAAGCTGCTCATCCCAGACTAGAAAATGGCATCTAGGAAGGATTTTATTGTGGCTCTATTCACTTCTTAAGGTCGATTCTCTTTCTTCGAAATCTGGAAATCTCAGAAATATAAGGATGGTGTTCTCCTGATTGTTCCTACACTGGAAAAAGTCCAAATCCAGATCTAAGTCCTTTTTTCTTAAAATGAGTGCATTTGTTCTTGAATTGAGGAGATAAAAGATACATATTGCCAATGGAACAAGACAATTTAGGTTTAAAATAAGAAAACACAATTGCATTGTCTTATTTCAAGTGCATATTATCTAATTATCTTATTTTAAGAGTAAAAATACTCATCCCATTGGCAAATTATCTCATTTACATACTCAAATCAAGGGTTATAAAAACACTTAATTTGAGAACATTTTACTTATTTCTAGATCGTTTTTGCAGTGTGCAGATGAAATTTATGATGATTCTTTTTCTGATTTCCATCATGAGGATCTTTCACTAATAATTAATTATTATTAATTATTGTTTTTTTTTTATCTGGGTTGTAAAATGATGAAACCAAACCAAAATAGTAATCTATTATGCAGCCTGTTTCTGTTCTAACAGCCCGGGAACCTAGTTTTAAGGCATAGAACAATTAAGTCAGTTCTGGTAGCACCTTCATCCTTGGGTCTTTCATCAATATAAGGTCAATACCTAAAGCCAAATGAAAGCGCACTGGTTAGAATCCACCTTCTCTCAGGGCCTCCTCAGTCCTCTGAACTGTATCCAAAGGAAAACACAAATGGTGAAGTGAAGGGGTGAGCGGAACCGGTCTCCCCCCACACTCTTTAAGGCCTCTTTTAGGGATTTAGTCTACAGATTTTAGCTTCTAATGAGTTTACCTTAAGTTTTCATTGATTTAGTGACAACAACAGATATCACTGAATATTCTGGTAAGGACAGTTAGACATGAACGTTATACCCTACCCTATGTTTTTGTTTTTATTATTTTAGAGAAGAATTACGTCTGGGTCCCAGTCAGCCTGGCACGTCTTACAAACCCGTCTGTAACGGCACCGTGGGCCGCCGATCTACTCTCATCGAACCAGAGCGTCTCAAAGACTTTGGCGAGGAGGAACTTCTCAATGGAGACGTTAGGTTCTACGAAACCAAAGTGGTTGCAGCTCCAGAAATAAAGCTGATGGATCCCCCGAAAACCAGAAGAATGAGTGAGTTCAGGACCGTTCCCAGACCTCCAGCTCAGTATCTACGCTTTGAGGACATCAGTGCAGCAGCCTTCAGGATCCAGTCGGTGATACAGAAAACACCTTGCACGGTATGAGCCACATGTGGGCCATGGTGGGGAAATAATATCTAGGAAATAATAGTACAAAATAGTGCAGTGTAGCCATCTTCCACAATGAAGTGAATGAATTACAAGAACAACAACTGAAAGATGTATCTTCTTAATTTGAGTCTACAAGCTGCTGTGTTCTTATCCCCTAACCAAAAAAAAACAGTTTAGACTGAATCTAATTTCCTTTTTTGGATAGATAAAGAAATTTGAAATTGAACCTTTTAAGTGCTATGTAATCAACGTCAATACACTAAATTAACAATTGTATTTTTTTTAAAGTATTCCAGGCTTTCCAAACAGTATGGGATGGAGATCTTCCTGAAGAAGGAGCATCTGCACTACACGGGCTCCGTGAAGGAGAGAGGAGTGCTGTACCTGCTCACCTCCCTCACACAGGTAGACACTAACCCCATGGAGGTTTAGGCAGATGGCAAGACCCTATTCGGTTGGTCTTTTTGCAGATGTGATTTGCAGCTGACCTGTACGTCTGTTAGTGACGGTGATGATAAAAGAGAGTATGTTGGTCTCCCTCCAGGAGCAGCAGAGGAAGGGTGTGATCGTGGCCACTGACTGTAGCTTTTCCATGGCCGTGGCTCACCATGCAGTGGAGCTGAAGATTCCAGTGTTCGCCATCATGCCGTCAAGCTGCTCTTCTCCACGTCTGCGGACCTACAGGGACTACGGAGCGATGGTCATCTCGTACGGCGGCACCAACCATGACTCCCAAAACCACGCCAGACATCTGGCCAAAGAGAACGGATATCTTTATCTGGAAGAGTGAGACTCAACATGTTCATATCAAAATTGCCAATCAAACTCTAGATGTTATAATTCTGATTCAGTTTTGCAACAGAAAATAGTTTTTATCTATTTATTTCCAGGGATGAAAATGCAGCATATCTAGCAGGACTAGGAACTGTGGGGATGGAGATCTTTGAGCAGGTTCCCAAAGTGGAAGCAGTGATTCTTCCTGCAGCAGGACAGTATGGACTTCTAGCCAGCACCGCTGCAGCCATCAAACACCTCAACCCTCAGACTATTGTTATAGTAAGTATAAATAAAAACTCAGTTATTACTACTCTTTGCTCCTATTTTTGCATTAATGCACTGCCACTCATTCACATATCTCCATTTTGGTTTACTTTCCATTTTTTAAGAGTTTACCTGAACGAAAACCTTTTTAGAAAGTAAAACCCGAAATACATTATTAGCATACAATATGTAAATGGAAGCCTTAATGGGATTAAGGTTCTCCTTTCCACAGTCTGCCTTCTACCTGTATGATATCACCTTGTACTCATACACAATGGATAATTCCAGTCTGACTGATGAGTTTTCTTCAACAGGGAATTGAAACAGAAGGCTTTCCTCTACTGCTGCAATCCCTGAAAACAGACGCCCCAATCAAAAACATGCACGGCAACCCCAATAAGAAACTGTATGGAGGTAAGGTCCCTTTATCTCTGGGTGCTTTAATGAAAACCTGGACTGTGACGCATTGATGGTTTGTGGAGGTTTGTTGGATGTGTTGAGTCACAGCTATGGGCAAAAAGGAATATTCTCTGGTCATTAATGCTATTAGAAATTATTATGGTAAATGGCATGTACTTATATAGCGCCTTTATTCAAGTTAGGAGACTTGACCAAAGTGCTTATGTTATGTTATTTATATCCCAAAAATTCACTGCTTAAAGGTATAGTGGAGGATTTGTGCGCATTTTTTAAAAGACCCGCCCTCTCCACTTTAAAAATGTATCCATATGAGCTTACTTTCAAAAAGATTTGCAATTTTTCCACTTTGTCAGATTAACCACCGGTAAGTGAAAATGGTGATGCACTTAGGACAGCCTTATGTAAACATATCACCAGAATGAATGACAATTAGGAGTACCATATATTTTGATGATCCAAAGAACATGCTCCACTATATGTTTAAGGAGCCCACTTTAGAGGCAAATGCTCTCAGCAGACGTTCTCTATTTTTCATCAGTCTAAATCCTGGAGCGAAATAGTCTGAACCTTGATCCATTACAATATCTTTATTCCTTTCTTCTTGAGCCATTTTGTTGTAGATTTGCTACCATGTATGAGATCATCATCCTATTGATAAAACACTCTAAGCAAAGTGCCAGTCAACATGTGACTCATGAGCAATTCAGTATACAGAGAGTGCATGGCTGACTCAAAGGTGTCTTGAACCTGCGGCTGCAAAATCAGCCCTCCGCCTCTGTGTTGAACAGTTGGTGGGATAAGAGGTACATGATCCCTGTACTTTGGTCTCATATATGTACTTTTGTCCTAGTGTCTTCATTCAAACATAGTGTGAATTGCCTTTCTTATAAAAGTAATAATTTCAGATCACTAGGAGATTCTGTTTTATTCCTGCCCAGTTTTACAGATGGCAACAAACAATTGTTACTTATCGTCTTTTAGTGGTACCTTAATGCCAAATTCATTGAACTGCCCTTTTTGCCACCTTGAGTTATTAATCCTCTTTTCCCATCACTGTAGGACACATCAAGAACATAAATGTTTTTTTTTCCTGAAAACTTTCTTTTACGCTATAATCTTGTTTTTCCTAGATTTTACTGAGCGCTCGCTTGGGGAAAATACCTTCCAGTTGGCCAAGAAACTGATTGACAAGGTTATACCTGTCAGGTACATGCTTTATTTTTACTCCTTAAGACATTAACTCAAAAAAGTGTAGTTCCCAAATTATCTTAGAATAATTGACATTTTTAAGACCTCACCTGGCTAACTCACAGTATATTTGAGCTTCACATGAGTCTGATGTTTGTGTTCTCAGTGAAGAAGACTCTCTGGTGGCCATGCTGCGATTTCAGGAGGTAGAGCACTCCACAGTGGACACTGTGGGAGCCATGGGACTGGCTGCCATATTGGCAGGGCAACTACCAGAACTGAGAGGGAAAAAGTGGGTCGGATATTTTTACATTGTTGGGGGGAAAAAACTGTCAGAGAAGAAACAGTTCAGCAGTTGGCTTATGCTCTATTTATCAGTTTGGGTAAAAGTCTTTTTGAGAACAGAAGCCTAATTGAAGTTTGACCAACATGACACTCTGGTGTTTTAACATTGTTGGCAGCAGTAATTCTTTTGGATACAGCTCATAGTAACCTTCCTCTCTCTGCTTCAGGGTGGTTGTTTTGGTGAGCAGTGCTAACATGGAGCCAGACCTGCTGAGGCAGTGTGTGGACCGAGCTTTGGTGTTGGATGAGCGGGTCAGTAAGTTCTCTGTGCAGCTGGGAGAATGGCCAGGAGACATGGCCAAGCTGCTGGACGTACTGTCCAGAGAGGATGTGAGGTAGGGACAGGTCTTCTGTTTCAGAATCTGTTCCCTTTTGATGCCATCTTTCGCTCCCTGATACGTTTTCTTTCTCTCTTCTCAGATTATTGGATGTCTGCCATCGCAGACACAGTGACAAGTCAGATGTCTTCAAAGCAAAGGTAGACAGATCATTTCTTACTTGTCCTCCTGCTCCTAAAAGGGAGAAATTCTGATTAGAAGCAATGATCCAGTAATTTTAACAAATTATAAGCAAATATATAAAAAAACAAAAACAAAAAACACTGGGGTTTCTTAAGAATGACCAAGTGAATGAGTTTTTAATCTTGCAATATCAAATTATCCTTCCAATTAGGTTTTAGAAAGAGATGAATGACCAAACAGCTGTGTTGAAGGTACTTAAAGGAATAGTACACCCAAAACATGATTAGCCTTCATTTTCTACTCACCCCCATGCTGAACAACACTCTGGAGTACTTTTTTGATATCT